GTGAGTTAATTAAACGCCTGACCAAAAAAGTGGGTTAATTTTTAAGTCGATAATTTTGTAGGGCCCATAAATGATGTTGTAAATATCTAAATGGCACTTGGCAGAAAAAAGGTTCCCCAGCCCTGGTAGGCCTAAGAAAAGAGGGCAAAAGGCAGAATGAAAGAAACCACAAATAGGAAAAACAGAACCAAACCAAACCAAACCAAACCAAACCATAAAGCTCTGAATGTTAAAACTGCCGTCTCCTCAATCCCAGCATCATGGTCAAAAATAAACGAAGGCCGTGGTTCCTAATGACTCTTGTAGGAGTTTGTGTGAGTGTCCAGGAGCTGAGGGGGAGCCCAGGCTCTCAGGAAAACTAGTGAAAGGGCAGTTCCCCAGACACAAAAGGCCATGCTCTGTAGGAATCCATTTATATGAAACATGGAGCGGAGGGAAAACCCTTGGGGATAAACAGCAAACGGGTGGTTGCTAGGGAGAGAGATGGGTTCAGGGTTTTTCCTTTTGGGGTGATGAAAACGGTTTGGAACTAGACGGAGGTGACAGTTGCATAACATTGCAAATGCATAACCACCACAAAATTGTATACTTAAAAATGGTTAATTTTATGCTTTGCAAATTTTACCTCGATTTAAAGAAGAAAGAAAAAGAGAAAGAGAGAAAATTTCAAGAGGGGGAAAGGATGTGTGTCCAACATGAGGAGCAGGAAGATTAGGAACACAAGGTGCTGGTGACTCCATTGTCTCCATGGAACTCCAGCTCCAGGCTCCACTGAGTTCCAGTCTGTGAGGGTGACAAGGGATGAGCTGACTGAGGGAGGAGGGGGAGGGGCACAGGGAAGGAGACTGGACAGAAGCACTTTGGAAAGGAGCAGATTCAGAGCTGCTGAAAAGCTGTCAGTTAGGGTCACAGCACACTGGTCCTTTTATTTATTATATATATAATATCAATGATGAGAATCATTGATAGGCTGCCTCCTGCACACCCCCTACTGGAGATTGAGCCTGCAACCCGGGCATATGCCCTTGACTAGAATCAAACCTAAGACCCTTCAGTCCAGAGGCCTATGCTCTATCCACTGAGCCACACCGGCTAGGGCCACACCGCTCCTTTTAGACGTAAAAAACTGAGAAATGCTGAGTTAGAAAGATGGAGGGGTAGAACGGTAGCCAGCAGAGACAACGTGAGAATATTCCTGACAAAGGGATAGGAATGCCTCAAAAATGCCCTTACACCAAGGAAGAGTGGACAACTTAGGAGAGAACCTACTGTTTTAGTATGTTCTATAAAAATAGAGCCAAAACCACCCAGGAGTGAATGAATGAACATGGGGGATAAGGAAGGAAAAAAGGGAGAGAGGGAAGGAAGAATTTAGATAAATATTAGAGAATTACTTGCTGGTTAATGAGAAATTTGACTTTCAGAGGTTTCTGGTCTACTTTAAGCAGAATCGCTATCGATTTCTGTGTCCTTTTTTCCTTTTCCTTTTTCTTTTTATAGAGGGGTTGGGGGGAGAGGGAGAGGGAGAAAGAACCAGTGACCCTTTGGTGCATTAACCAACTGAACTACACTGGCCAGGGCCAGTTTTGTGTCTTTTGTTGGGGCTTAAGACCACAATCTCTCAGTAACAGTCAATTAATTAGTATATTCATGCTAGGGATCCATTTGTAGCCTGTTTGTCATCTATTTTTTTCTTTTTAAGTCAAATGGCAGGACACCGCAGTCCGAGCATAAATGTTTACTAAACACCTCCATGTGCTAGGCCTGGTCAGCAGGGCACAGTCTTTGCCTTCTAGGGGGACTGGGGAGCACAGTGGAGTTGCTTCTCTATTGGAAGAGGGGCTTCTGGTCTGAAAAGCTCTCTCCATAGGGGGTGGTAGAGAAAGCTTGCGTTTAAGAGAGGCCTGAGGTCAAATCCCAGTTCTCTTTCTAACTGAACTTGTGACCTAACCGTTCTGGGTCTCAGTTTCTTTACCTGTAGAACGGGAATGACACTGATCCAAAGGGTTGTTATGAGGAATAAATAAGATAGGATATGTAATGTACACCTAAGCACAGGTTCGCTGAAATGCGTTCTTGATATAAGGTAGCTGTTTTAAATTAATGTGAAGATGAGGCATTCTGGCCAGAGAGAGTGGCAGGCAAGCAGAAGCCTTAGAAAGCGCAGCACAGAGAGCACCTGGGAAGGCACATGGGCATTTCCTGGAAACACGCTTGGCCAAAAGGCTGGAGTGTTGTCATTGACCTTCAGCCCAGGTGCCAGGGGGTGGGTTTTATTTAAATCCAGGCAAGCACCAGGAATGAATACCACCCAGGCCCACCCCAGAATGCCCATAATCTCCTTTGCCTTGACTTTTAGTATAACTTCCTGTTTGTTGTATAAAATAAACACATCGTATTGGCTCAGCTCAGAGTCCACATCCCTGTCAGAAGATAGTGATCTCACCGGGCCCCAGCTCTTTCCTTCTATCGCTGTGTCTGTCTCTTTCTTTCATTTTCTCAACCTTCAGCTGCCCCTACTCTGCAACCGGATTGTTCTCTAGCCATGCTGGACGTGAAAAGGAGAAAAATTGCCTCAGCATAGCTCCTGGGGAAGGAACTAGAAAGAGGGCTGGATGAAGTGCAGGGAATATCACAGGTATGTCATAGGAGAGGATCTGTAGTAAGGCTGGGCAGAGGCGGGGGCCCATCTTGCAAGGGGAGGGAGCCTCACTCTGGGCTAAGAAATTTGGTTTGACCCTGTGGGCAGGAGGGCAGCAAGTGGATGCTCCCACCCAATCCCCTCTGCAACAGTCACCATGAGTCATTCTTGAACCTTTCTACCCTTGAGGCCCTTATAAAATTTACAAACAGCACCTCTTGGACACTGGTCCTCGCTGATGAAGGCAAGTCATCTCGCCTAAATGGTCTGGACTAAGGAATGTAAACTGGTTGGTTATGAACGTAAGTATTTCTAACTATCTGCTGAGTGAACATGTGTCCCAGGCTCCATGGGGATAAGTGGCAGTTCATGATCTTAGCCAGGGAGAGGACTGGCCCTCAGTGACAGTGCAGGAAATGTCCAAAGGACTGGGGACAGAAAGTGGGACAGTGGTTCCTCAAGGCTCAAACTGGTGCACAAAGCCAGCGGGGGTGGGGTTGTGAGGGTTTGTGGGGGGAGGGTTCTGGTTGTGGGGGGTTGCCGGGAGAGGGTTCTAAGGCTGGGGTCTCACAGAGCTCCTAAGACAGGTATTGTTTAGAATTGCCAACGTACAGAGGATAAAAGGCAGACCTTTAGTGATTCCAAACTCTCTCAAGTCAAGGCCCCACTTACTGCCTGCGCCCAGGGCCCCGTCTTCCATTTGGAATTTCCGTATACTGTCTCTGAGCCTTCGTTTCAAAACTGGCAAATGGGATAAACTCCCCCCTAACGATGCACGTTGAGAAGGCAAAATGAGATAATTTGAAGTAAAAATGCCTCCTGGCCCGGGGTGTGACACAGAATATGGTCCTTCACATGTGTTCCTCTTCTTCTGTCATCCTCCTTTCTTCTTTTCCTCCCCAAATTGGTTCCAGATCCATAACTCAGCCAGTGTTGGTTTGGTTATCTTTCTGTCTACATCAGCCCCTGGCGTCTTATTAGCATGGCCATCTGAGGTGATGAGAAAGCAAGAGGCATGGCAGAAACATGCCTCACCTTCACTCCCTAACGGGCCAAACGTCTCCCATCCTAAGGAAAGGTGACGAGAGCCTGTCCCCAAATAAAATGACTAAAGAGCTATCTGGCATCACAATCAGCATGCACAATTTTCCAGCTCTCACTGTTTCCCCAAACACTCCAAGAGATCATGCTCATGCTATCCGCAGGTAGCCGGCCAGTTGCTGGGCTCCTATCTGGGACTCTGACTTTTCCTAAAAGCATCACCTCAATTTTACTCTGAGCAAAGACGGAGCGCGGAGAAAAAATGCTGTCACCTCTTCATCTTGATGCCTCTGCACTGTTTCTATTGTGGAAACAATGAGTGCACACTCTTTCACAGATAAGCAAACCAGCTAGAATTTGTTTGTGCATGAAGAAAAGTGGCTAAAGGCTTACAAAGCACTATTATTACAAAGACATTACAACATCTTTTCTTCTTTTCACTTTGTAACTAGTGTCTTTACAGACTACAGACAACTTCTCTGCCCTGCTTTTTTAGGGGGAAGAGGTTGGAAAATACTTTATTTGGTCAAGTGGCCAGATACTTAAAAACACACTCCTCCTGGTAAATGTATTCTAGTATGCAACCTCCACCCTGAGCAGACCAGAAGCCGAAATACTGAGATTCCACGGTGTCTGGCAGAGCCGAGTTTTGATCTCTTTTCTCCACTCCCCCGGGGACTAGTCACAAACCAGCCCACCTGGACACGGGCTGCATTAGCGCACGCGCTAACGCAGCCCGTGTCCAGGTGGGCTGGTTTGTGACTAGTCCAGGGGCTGCTGGCACTGACTTATTACTAAACGTGCCAAGCTTTCCTCCACACCATTTCCCTCACCTGTGAAACGTTCAAGAAAAACAATCCCAACACAACTAAACGTCAGCGGAGGCGGGTCTCCTCCACTTTATACTGAAAAGGCCAGAGCGTTTATTGGGGCCACGGGAGACTTTCTTTTGGGTGTGGTCCTGGGAGCAACACTGACCACAAATGCAATGCAGCCGATCCGGCCCCCTGCGCCCCCGTACCCAGCGCCCAGCTCGCAGGCCGGTGCGCCCTCCAGAACCCGGCGCCCAGGGGCTTCCGCTGAGCCCGCACACCCCGCCCGGATAAGACGGGGGAGAATCTGGACCTCAGCCCAAACGCCTGCCTGGCTTCTGAAGGAAACTGAGGCTGAGGGTGCCGTGGGGACACCCCCCCCTAGGAGATGGCGCCACCAGTACCCACTTGGTCTCCCGGCTGCTTCCCGCCGCCCGCCCGCCCCAGGAGGTCCCGGGCTGCGTGGCCCGAGGCGGCAGGAGGACCCCCCCTCCCCCAGCTCTCACCTGGCTTGCGGCCTGGGGCGCGGGCGGACAGCAGGGGCCCGCACAGGCTCAGCCCCGCCGCCACGAGCAGCAGCCACCGCGGCCCCATTGTCCGGGCTCAGCGCACCGCGCGGCGCTCCGGGGCCAGTGCCGCCTCCCGGAGGCTCGAGCTCCGCACGCTCCCTCCTCCCGCCCGGGCCCGCGGCGGAGGTGCGGGCGGCCGGCAGGACGCTCCCCGCGGTGAGAAGAGGAGGCTCGGCGTCGCCCCGCTGCTCGATCGGCGGCCGGTGCGCGGCTCTAAGAGGGCGCGGGGCGCGGAGGGGCGGGGCGCGGGCGCCGAGCTGCGCGAGCGGGAAGGGCGCCCCCCGGCGCCCAGTGCGCGCCTCGACGTGGCCGTCGGACCCCGCTTCTCACGGGTCCGCTCAGCAGAGGCTCCGCCGCCTTTGGGGCTGGACGACCCCAGCCCGATCGCGCCCGCCCCCTGCCCCAAGCCCCGCCCAGCGGCGCAGGCAGCCGGGTCTTCCCCGCCCTCCCGCCTGGGCTGCCTGCCGGCCACGGTCCGACGTGGGGAACCAAACCAGACATCTTTTCCTCTGGGAGCCTTTGACTCGCGGAAAATCAGTGACTCAGTCTGGCGGGGCCTTGGAAGTGGGCCCCGCGGCCCGGGCGGCTGCCCTTGGGTCTCCCCGGATCCTCCGGGGAGCAGAGCCGTGCGCTCCCGAGGTGTCCGGAGGGCGCCCCTGGGCGCTGCCCCTTCGGCCCGCGCAGAGCGCCGGACCCCGGGCCGAGCGCCGCGGCCCGTTTGAAACTTCTCCATCTAATTGACAATCTGAAAGGGACTCACGTTTTTGTAATTTAGGAATAGCGGATTTAAGCCAGGGTTTATACTGGCGTGACAAAGCTTGCCCCCAGGGTTCGGTGAAGTACCGTTTCATACGCAGAGCACTTACTTCCCGGGCGCCGGGACGGAGAGGGCACCTCCGCTCCCTCCACTCGCAGGGCAGAGACTTCGGCCCCCGAGCCCCGTTAGAAGCACCTGCGCAGCCTTTCCCGGGCGAAGAGCCGGCCTGACTCCCCTGTTCCGCCCCCCCCCGCTCCCCCGCCCCCGGCCTGCGAGAAGGATGCCCAGAGGACGAAGGGTCCATTTTCCAGGACCATGTGTCATGGATTTAATAGAATTGCGCCCATTTCAGGTCACAGGGCAGGGACTCCCCGCTGCCCTCTGAGGCCCGTGGAGGACGTCGGGGGCCCAGGCCCGCGGGGAGGAGCCGCTGCTTGCTTTGCTTAGAGAGCGTCTCTGGTGAGCAGCTCCGACCGCAGCGGCGGGAAGTGGGTCCCTCCACCCGTCGCTTCTTGGGAAAGTTCACAGCAGCCCTTCTCCTCGCAGATGTGCGTGCGAGTGTGTTCTGCACCCCGTGGCTGATAAACTGCACTGTGTCACTGATCAGATTTCTAAGCGTTTTTATAAAGGGAATTTCCCACGGAGAGTGTCATTCCCCACTTGCCCTGACACGGAAACCAGTGAAGAAAATACAGCGAAGATGCTCCCCATGTCCCCCTCTTCCTCAAGCACAGAGCCTTGTGGTGTATACAGTAGCTCAATAGGTGACTGTATAATCCAATGATAGAATGCTGCTTCAAAAGTTCCCTCATTCAATGCTCCCAGTAGATCGAAACCATTAAAATGGTGTATTTCTCCAGTCTCTATTAATGGATACTATTTTCATCAATCTTAAGACCGCATTGGTTTAAAAAAAAAAAAAAAGATGCCAAAATTTAAAGACTCACCTTTTTCATTTATGTACCACAAGTGAAAAAATGCTGTCAATTAAACTGTGACATTTTGATTGTAAGTAACAACTCAATTTCAGGATTGTTTAAACATCCAAGGGGCTTTACAGTGTAGAACAGTGGTTGGCAAACTGCAGCTTGTGAGCCGCCATTTGCCGCTCTGTTGACTAATGAGTTTGCCGACCACTGGTGTAGACTATAAACGTAATCAATATGCGTGGCAAGAGATTGTAACAGATCAAAGATATAAAATGAATCGTCCACCTTCTCTTCTAAGAAACACATACATCTCCATGATGGCCACTGTTAAAAGTTTCTGTCCCTCATTTAAGATACTGTAACCACATTTTTCCTATATAATAAAACCCTAATATGCAAATTGACTGAACAGTGGAAAGACTGGTCACTATAAAGCTCACTGACCATCAGGGAGCTGAATGCAGGAGCTGCCCCCTGGTGGTGAGTGTGCTCCCACAGGGGGAGCACCCCTCAACCAGAAGCTGGGCTCACAGCTGGTGAGGGCAGCAGAGGTGGTGGGAGCCTCTCCTGGTAAGGAGCTAGGGGTCCCTGACTGCGTGAGGGATGTCTGCCTGCTGGCAGGCGAACACCCCCTGAGGGGTTCTGGGCTGCAAGAGGGCACCTGCAGGGCTGAGGGACCTCCTCCCACCCAGTGCATGAATTTCATGCACTGGGCTTCTAGTAGATATATAATCATGTAAATCCTTAAAATAAGAATGGAATAATACTCTGGCTACAACACTTTAAAATTTTATGTTTCATTGGTGGAAAATGTTTTTAACCATTTTACAAAACTGTAACGTTTAAAAGGACATTTTTTTTTCTTAGTTATCAGAACAGAACGTACCTCTACTGACATAAAAGAGGATTGCTGAAACAATGAAATGCATAACTTCTTTCTGCAAATTAACTACAGAGAGAGAATGCAGAGTACAGTTATTTCTCTAAAATAGAGCCTTCGTGATTGACCCATTAGCAATGTAAACCGAATCACACAGCCTATGGACTCTTGAGTTAGCTTCTTTAGACTGGGGCTGAAATACAATGAGCAAGCTGGGTGAGTGGGGCAGAATGAGGCACTTCTTCCTCACTGAGTGGCCACCAAAAGTTAAATCTGCTTCAAAATCGGTAGCTTTCTCATGCACAAGTGCAGATTCCTGAAGCTAGGGGGTGGGGAGGAGGAGTAGGTGGTGACAAGTGGAAGGGACACATTTTGAAAAATACCATTTTGAGAGGTAAAAGAACTGAGCAGGATTTCATGTAGTAAATGACACAATATTTCAAGCATAGAAAAATATAGAGCCCAATATCTGACACAGCCTAACCCAGCGTTAACATATATATGTAAATGTAACATATACATCTTATATTATTAGTTAAGCTTTTTTGTACACTTTTTTATTCCATTCTTTTTCTTGCCCAGGAGACTTTCTCTCCATGTTTTTGTACTTTTGGTACATTTATGTTTTTAAAAATACTACTTCTTAGTACATTTGAAATATTTACACAGAGTAACATTCTAGGAGTATGACTACAGTTTCCATTTTCTAGATTTACCTGTTTGATACATGTATATTCAGTTCTTTTTAAAAAAGTATATTTTATTGATTTTTTTTACAGATAGGAAGGGAGAGGGATAGAGAATTAGAAACATCCATAAGAGAGAAACATCTACCAGCTGCCTCCTGCACACTGGCGCTGTGCCTGTAACCAAGGTACATGCCCTTGACAGGAATCAAACCTGGGACCTTTCAGTCTACAGGCCCATGTTCTATCCACTGAACCAAGCTGGTTAGGGCTAGTCAGTTCTTTTTTAAAAATATATATTTTATTGCTTTTTTTTTTTTTTTACAGAGAGGAAGGGAGAGAGATGGAGAGTTAGAAACATCGATGAGAGTCATCGATAAGCTGCCTCTTGCACACCCCCTACTGGGGATGTGCCCGCAACCAAGGTACATGCCCTTGCCCGGAATTGAACCCAGAACCGCAGACCGACGCTCTATCCACTGAGCCAAACCGGTCCCGGCTATTTTGTCAATTTCATTTTATCTTCTTCAACTCATGAATTATTGGAAGTTTTGACTGGCTTTTTGTAATTGATTTCTAATTTTCTGTTATGGTCTGTTGGTGACATTCTGTTTTCTGTTTTTCCCCCTCAAACTCTACAAGTTCTTACAATATTTGTATGCTCTTTAGAGCTTCTTGAAAAAACTATTGATCTCTACTTCATTTGTTCCATGTCACCCACACCAAAACCTCTTCGCTGCCAGTTTTAGGGCAAATCTGGGTAGCTTCCCCAGGGCAGGCAATCTGCCTAACCTCGCAGGTTGATACTCCTCAGAAAGGAAATCTCACTTGTATTGGAACCACTTGATGTCCATTCCCAGTTTTCGTTTTCTCTGTTTGAACTTGCCTGGCATTAAACAATATGAGTCATTCACTACCGTCTTATAGTGTTTGCGGTATGTCGTAGAGTTTATGAATGAACATGACATTACAATTGTGAAAGTTTTAATCCCAAGGTGACATGCAAGAGGTTTAAACCCACAGATGATCTACCTGCTTCAGGTATTCTCACTACCACTCCTCGATTCCAAGCCCTGCAAGGACAACAGTGACCTCTGAGAACCTGTGGGGTCATTTCCTTGTGGAAGCAGATGGCAGTGATGCCAGGACTCAAATGAAACGAGATCAAGTTGTACAAGTTGTAGTCAAAGCAGCTGTGTGATGCTCTAGAATTCACATGTGTCAAACACAAAGCCCGCGGGCCAAATCCGTCCCGCCAGGCCTTGCAATGTGGCCCGCACCGCGCTGTCATCACTGCACTCCGCTGCGTTTCCATCACAATGACAGTTTATGACTGTTCAGTAAACCATTCGGCCCGTGATTTAGGCTGGATTTTAGATTTTGGCCCCTTCTCTGATTGAGTTCGACACCCTTACTCTAGATTCTGTGCAGCTATCGTCAGGTTTGTTTTGCAAGTGAACCGTAGGTCTGTAAGGAAGTTACAAGCTACCGGTAGACTTGTTTCTGCCTTTTGCTGTTATAAACCTGCATTGGTATTTTGGGCTTAGCAACTGATCTCATAATGGGTCCAGGACAGTATTTCCACTAATTACATACCCCATACACTTGGGGTGCTATGAAAAGGCCAAATGAAAATAACTTTTGAATTATATAAAGTGAACTTGATATCTTTTACTTCCTGTATCTGTTCATTTTCCTTCTGCATTAGGGAGGGTTCTCCAGAGAAACAGAACCAATATGTAGAGATACGTGAAGAGATTATAGGAATTGGTCCCTGTGCTTGTGGAGGCTGCGAAGCCCCACAATCTGCTGTCTGCAAGCTGGAGAAGCCGGTGGCATAATTCCGTGTGAGTTTAAAGCCCTGAAAACAAGGAGAGTGACAGTGGAACTGCCAGAGCGCGGAGGCCTGAGAACCAGGAGCTCCAATGTACAGGGGCAGGAAAAGATGGGTGTCCCAGCTCAAGAGGAGAGAGAATTGGCCCTCAGTAGACTGGATAATGCCTGCCCACATTGGTAAGGGCGATCTCTGTTCAGTCTTTGGATTCAGATGCTAACATATTTTGGAAACACTTTCACAGATATGAAATAATATTTTACCAGCTGTCTGGGCATCCCTTAGTCTGGCCAAGT